CTTTTCTCTAGAGAAGTTCCGTGTAAATAATCTCCCTCTCACATTCCTTGTAAATGTCCGGGATGTGTGTTTGTCCTGAGATACACGTGTGGAGTCTGCATCCATCCGTAGAAGTATGTGTGCATACGCGCATGTTTGTGGGCAGAGGCGGCCCAGCACTTCCGGAGCTTTCAGCTGCTCCTGTGCGTGGCGTTGGGGCTACCCACCCTTTGCTTCTCTGCCGCAGACTCTCCGTCTGCAAAACAGAGACAATCCTTGCAGCTTTTCTTCTCTCTGGGAGGTTAATGATTGAGTATGTGTGTAGTGCTGGGAAGCCTTTGAAGTAAAATCACAAAGTATATGTGTATTATTATTGTAGCTCTAATGGTATTTATATGTAAATCATTATTATTGCAACAATAATATACTGGTTTGCCAATAAAACACAAACCGCTTTAGAAGAACGTTCTGAAATGATAGCGTTTTCTGAGGCCGGGCAGCAGTGTCTAATTTTGGCCCTTCACAGTCGGTTTCATGATTCATGTATTATGCATTTTCAAAGAATAATCAAGAGCATGCAGGATTGCCCGGAGCAGTGAGTACTGAAAATGTACCGCTGGGCCAGTTGTACTAAGAGAGTGACGGGACGTCTGCACGGACATGGCTGTATTTCACTCTAGGTAGGGGCTGTCACTGCAGCTGACGCCGTCTTGGAGCCTTCGGAGCTTGACTTGGTGATAATGCGTCATCAGGGCTGAGCACCTCGCGTCAGCTGTCCAGTTACAGCGAGGCGTAAAGTGGACGAGCGTCTCAGTGATGACTGATGGGTTTTTTTCTTTCAGATCCATGCAAAATTCATAAACCTGATTTCTAACCAGTGGGATTTGTGCTGCTGGAAGCAGAAAGCTCAAATGCGGAGCTTCGTTTAGTAGGAAATGTTTTTCTTTAAGGTGTCCTGATGCTTTCATCCCTGAGCATGTCCAGGTGATGACACCAGAGACTCTGCATGAGGGGAGACGAGGAAGCAGGTGCACCTGGTCTCCTTTCATCTTGCAGGAAGTCCCATTTAGCTTGTTGGAGTTGGACCAATGATCACATTAAGAGCATAAGTCACAGAGGAGGCTGTTTGTTACGAGTTTTGTCAATAAGATGTATCCCGCTGAGCCCCACAGCACAGGGCACATGGATGTCCACAGGGGGACAGTTCTTACTGTCCCTCAGTGAGCAAGTTCTTACTGAGGTCACAAGTGACTGGGCTGCCCCATGTGTGGTTGACACTTTGCAGCCATCATATCCCTCACAGTACGTCCGCGTCTTTGAAAGCGTTCTCCTCCCATGCTCTGGGACAGCAAACCTTCCTGGCCTTGGCATTCCTGTGGACCCTGTCCCTCCTCACCGTGGCCTTGGCATTCCTGTGGCCCCCGTCCCTCCTCCCCATCATTTTCGGCTCCTGTGTGTGCCTCTTATCCTCCTCTGCCTGGTCTGTTGGTTCTCTTGAGCGTTCTTCTTGACCCTCTCCCCTTTCATCCTGCGTTCTCTACTCTTGCATGCTAGTGTCTTCATTACACTGTGTACTTAAAAGTCCACAAGTGGCGTTTAGCAGGTTTAGGAGCCTCCTGACATGATGCCAAATGTTATATCTCTGTACGTTTTTCTGGAGAAAAGAAGCATTGTTTTTTATCAGTTTTGGGCATGGGTGCTAGCCTGCAAGGTTAAGACCTAGTGCTGTGAAGTGTCAGCTTTCTAGCCCAGATCTGTGTCCTGAGCTCCACTCCCTTGTATCCACCTGCCTCCTTGCCAGCTCCTTGAAGATGCTGGTACCACAGAGTCCAGTGTTGGAGGCAGAGGCAGCGTGGCCTCCCACACCTGCTGCCTTGGCTGTATTCTTTGGTCAGTGCATCTGCCCAGTCTGCTGAAACCCAAGGGCCCCTGGATTCTCTCTCTCAACCCCTCAACATTGTTGGTACCAGATCTGACTCTGTCCCCGGCCACCCTCTCCTTCTGTCCTCCATGTCAGGACCACCCCATTGTCTCCTGCCTCTGGCCTTCCTCTTGCCACATTGCTTGGATGGCCTTTCACCAGGTCTGATCTGAGGGTGGTGGCATCTTTGTCTTAGCAGCCGAAGTCTGTGACCTTGACCACCTGGTGAAGTGTTTGCCGGGTGTCTTCACTGTAAAGTCACTCTTTTTTCCTTGCTTCCCATACTGCACTCTCTGGAAGGAGGTCCCTGTGTGCAGCTCACACTGAAGGGCTGGGGGTCATACTTCACTTCCTTGAGGGGAGAGCATGTTCAGAAATTATTTGGAATTTTTCTGCATGTAAGACTTTTCTGTTTTCCACGTTTGTTAATTTATCCAATTATTTATATCAATATGGATTTTAAATACTTCATACTTTGGATTGTAGTCCAGTATTACATTATATGTTTTGTTGCTCAGATTATTTCAGCTTTGCCACTGGGGACTCTTTCAGTTGGCCCCTGGATCCCGTGACACACTCTCATCTGTGTGTGTGTGTGTGTGTGTGTGTGTGTGGCCATTTCTCCAAGGATCCCTAGTTCTTTTTATTGGTGGATTGTATTAAAACCAAGATCTGTGTGCCTGGTATGTTCCTTGTGAATTACCTTTTAAATAAATTATATTAAAAAAGCCTTTCGTATTTACCTTTATTTTTATAATTTCCTGTTTTTTTCATTTCTTTGTGTAGGCCTCCTGAAGAACTTTAACACTTTTTGTAGTATAGCTTTAATTTGTCTGAAAAAATATTTCACTTTGTTTTTGAAACATATTTTTACTGGGTACAGAATCCTGGGTTACCGGTTTTATTCCCAGTCCTTTAACACTGTCATTCTATCGTCTTTTTGTCCTGCATAATTTCCGACAGGAAGTCTGCTGTCATTATTATCTTCGGTCCATGGCTTAGGATTTGGTAGAACTCTGTCGAAGTTAGCCAGCTCCAATATTAACATTGACTGAGTATTTACCTCTGTCAGGTGCTTTGTTCAGCTTCACTGTGCATGTGTGTGATTCTCCCAACACCCTTAAAAGGGAGGGAGGGAGGTGATATTTTTCAGTTTATAGGTGAGGAAGCTGAGAGTTAAGCAGGTTAACTGATTTGTTCAAGGCCACTTACCTAGGAGGTAGCAGAGCTGTGATGGTCTGATGCCAGAGACAATCTGCATCTTAACCACCGTTTATTGAATTCATCCTCTTCAGAAGGTCCAGGGTCAGGTCAGGGTCATACTAGTGTAGTTAAAATGCTGTTACTGCAATGGAAAGTCCATAGGCACTAGAGTCGGACAGGTCTCAGCTCCAGTCCCACTCTGCTTCTTGCAGGCTGTGTGACTTTGAACATGTCCTTGCTCAGTTTGTGTTTTCACCTCTGACATAGGTGAGAGCCGCCATTTGCCTTAGATGAGGATGAAGAAACGTGATGCTGTGTGTGAGTGCTGTGGCCAACACTGGGAAGGTTTTTTTGGTTGGGGTGTGCTCACTCCTACCTGTTGAATGAATGAATTGGATTTTGTGCAGGTCAGATACCACATCGATTTCCTCATTCAAGGCTGAGAGTTGCGGGCATAGCACGCACTCTAGCATCCTGCCTCACACTTCAACCCCTCCGATTGGCCTCCTCTCCTGGGCTCATCTTTCCGAAGCACAGCCCTCATGATGTCACTGTGGCTGTGGTTCCATACTCTGGGTGGAGAGTAGGAGCTGAGGACGCTGAGCTGAGTGAAGTGCAGGACGGGACAAAACAGTCCCCGAATGTGGCTGAGTACCAGCTGTGTTCAGCTGACTGATGTGGGCCGGAGTGAAATGGGTCATCTACCCATTACGGATCTAATTGAAAATAATACTGTGCAATTTAATACAGTGATTTCTTAACATTTTTTTTTGCCCAAATTAGCAAAATGCTTCAAAATGTTACATGCAAGTGAAGTGGAAATAGTTGAATCCCAGCAAAGGATAAATGGATTGTACTGGAATATTTCAAGGAGGAATTTCTGATCAGCTTGGGGAGCGAAGGGGTTATCCTTGTGATATTTTATTGAACCACAAAATGTTATTTATAACCCATGTCAGGAGCAATTAAACTGATTGATGATTAAGGAAGTTTAATAGTTGAATAATAAGACGCGGCTCTTGACAGCTGTTTTTTCTCATTCTGGAAGCGTATTTCGTGAGTCTAGTAACAGTGTTAAGGACAGGCTGTTGCTGTGCTGCGGGGTCATTATGTGGTAGTAACAGTGTTAAGGACAGGCTGTTGCTGTGCTGCGGGGTCATTATGTGGTGGGAACAGTGTTAAGGACAGGCTGTTGCTGTGCTGCGGGGTCATTATGTGGTGGGAACAGTGTTAAGGACAGGCTGTTGCTGTGCTGCGGGGTCATTATGTGGTGGGAATACAGTGTTAAGGACAGGCTGTTGCTGTGCTGCGGGGTCATTATGTGGTGGTAACAGTGTTAAGGACAGGCTGTTGCTGTGCTGCGGGGTCATTATGTGGTGGCAGTGTTAAGGACAGGCTGTTGCTGTGCTGCGGGGTCATTATGTGGTGGTAATATAATGTTCAGCCTAGTGTTACATGGTATGTTACTTATAAAGAATTAAAAATTAAAATACCAATTATGTTTGTTTGATTTATTATTGAAGTGGTTTGTTAATTTTGATTTACCCAAAGCAGGGTTAATTAGTGCGTGTTGATATATTTGATTAAAAGTACACTAATGATGAATTGAATAAGGCCAAACAAAATAAATTATTTTCCAGTCACCCTGAATAGGTTCAGAATTTTAGCAATCTTTCATGTTTATGTAAAAAGGCAGCTTCACACTGACTGGAAGGGTTTGCTGTGATTGGCAGCTTCTTAGGCATATGTACCAGCGGAGGCCGTATTTGCATTTTCAAAACAACCTGTGCTACTCACCTTGACACCTGTTCTCTTTTGTGTGTGTGTGGTAGTATTTGTCTTTATGAGCCATTTCTTATGTTCGGGGAGATTAATACATTAAAATTCTTTCTTTTAGAAATAAGCAGACATGTTACAAAGCAGGAAACACAAATGACTAATAAGCTGAAAAAACCATCTAACTTCACAGGTAATGAAAATGCAAATTGAACCAATAATGCAGTTCTATTTTTGTCTATCAAATCATCACAAATTAAACAAGATAATACTCAGTGCTTTTCAGGCGAGGTGAAGTTGACACTCTTCCAGTCTTTTGCTATGAAACAGCCATTCTGGAAAGCAGTTTGGTGGCCACTGAACAGCCCGGTGCCTCCCTGCCCCAAGGACATAGAAGGTGATGTCTGTGAAGGTTGAGCACGGGGCTCACGGTGGAGGCAAATGTTTGCATGAGTTGAGGCTTGAACCAGCCCAGATGACCATCGATAGAGGAAGTTTAAAGTCACTGGGTACATTGATTCCTGTGTCACCTGAAACATGATTTCATAAAAACCCTTCTTAGTATGTGAAAATGATCAGGGTGTAAATAAAAACAGTAGGACATAAAACTTCATATTTAGTCTCCATTCTGGTTGATCGAAAAGGTTCATGTGTGTGAATGTTAGGGGCTGAATTGCTTCCCCAGAATTCATCTGTTAAAGTCCTAACCCCTAATACCACAGAAGATGTTTGGAGATAGGGTCTTTAAAGAGGTAATAAAGATAAAGTAAGGCCATTAGGGTGCGTCCTAACCCCATGGAACTGATGTCCTGGTAAGAAGAGACGAGGGGCCAGGTGTGGTGGCTCACACCTATAATGCCAGCACTTTGGGAGGCCGAGGTGCGTGGATCACGAGGTCAGGAGATCGAGACCATCCTGGCTAACATGGTGAAACCCTGTCTCTACTAGAAATGCAAAAAGTTGGCTGGGTGTGTTGGCAGATGCCTGTAGTCCCCAGCTACTCGGGAGGCTGAGGCCAGAGAATGGCGTGAACCCTGGAGGGGGCAGCTTGCAGTGAGCCGAGATCGCACCACTGCACTCCAGCCTGGGCGATGGAGCGAGACTCTGTCTCAATCAGTCAATCAATCATTCAATCAATAGTATTGACTGGGCATGGTGGCTCGTACCTGTGAGACTCCGTCTCAAAAAAAGAAAAAACAAAAAAAACGGGGAGACGAGGACAGGGACACACACGGAGGCACACCATGAGTGGAAACAGGAAGAAGATGGCATCTGCAGGCCCAGGAGAGAGGCCTCTGGAGAAACCAGCCCTGCTGATACGGTGGCCTCGGACCTTGGGCCCCCAGAACTGTGAGGAGATACATTTCTGCTGTTGAAGCTGCCCAGTCTGTGGTAGTTTATTACAGCATCCCAGGCTAATACAGTGAAACTAAACGAAGATATTCATTATATCTGCATAGTACATTTATGGATGATTTAATTTTCTTTTTTAAACTTTTCCGTATTCTCCAAATTACTTACAAGAATCAAGTAACAAAGCATTATTGGGAAGTTTCCTCCTTGGTCTGTGTAGAGAGACTTAGCAGAAGCCGACAGAAGCCCCTTCCTCTTCGGGGTTCAGCCTGGTCAGCTCTGAGTTGAAGGCGTTGTGCTGATGTGTGGTGCCCTGCCCAGCCCGAAAGTCGTGTGCGTCTCGTGTGGTGTGTGCGGAAGCCTGTGGGCCTGTGGTCCGCCGTCTGTGGGGCGCGTTCCCCTCAGCGTGGCAGGGGTGGTGCACGCAGGTCACTGTGAGACGGCCGAGGGGTGTGACTGAGGAGACACGAGGGGCTTTAGGTGAGGCGCTTCCTCTCTCTTTCAGGTGGAGGCTTAGATTCTAAACCAGCACGGACTATTGAGCACTGGCTTTCAGGAATTTACGTGTTTTTTGTGTTACTGGTTAGGCTGGGGCCAGATCCAGCTTGAATTAGGTTCCAGAAGGGTTGGTGGGAGTTGGTCAGATAAGAAACAAGGAACCCAGGGAAAGGCTCGGGTGCTTCCAGCCCGGGCAGTGCTGGGCAGAGGCCATGGCAGGTCCCTGAAGGCTCGCATTTGGAGGCCTTGCTCTGAAGGCAGTTGGGAGCCTTGAGGCCTTTCTGTTAGAGAGGGACGTGGTCTCCAGCTTTCAGCCAGCTGATGTGTTCATTGCAGGCACCAGGTGTGATGGGCCAAGGGACCCCGTGAAAACGCCCCTCTTCACCTGTGCATACAACTGTTTGGAAATAAAGGTCTGGCAGAGGGAGGTTGGAGTAGTGCTGTGTTAGTCTGTTCTCACACTTGATAAAGAATACCACCGGAGACTAGGTCATTATAAAGGAAAGAGGTTTAATTGACTCACAGTTCTGCAGGCTTAACAGGAAGCATGGCTGCGAGGCCTCAGGAAACTTACAATCATGGTGGAAGGCGCAGGGAAAGCAGGCACCTTCTTCACAAGACAGCAAGAGAGAGTGAGTGCCAGCCGGGGAAATGTCGGATGCTTATAAAACCAGCACATCTCGTGAGAACTCACTGTCACAAGAACAGCCTGGGAGAAACTGCCCCCCGATTCAATCACCTCCCTCCCTCAACACGTGGGGATTACAATTTGAGATGAGACTTGGGTGGGGGCACAGAACCAGACCATATCAAGGGCCTTGACTGCCAGTCAGCAGATGGGTTGGAGCTGGCTCAGGATCCCAGAATGAGGACAGCACGGGCCAGCTGAGCTGAGTGGGGCCTTCCAGTGCAGGAGACGCCATCCTGGGCAGGTGAGAGGTGAGGCTGTGCCTGCGCTGCTTATGTGAGGAAGTGGGTCACACCTCTTGCAGCCACCCAGCACCCAGTTTGCCTCCTTGAGGGGAGGGACGGCCATCAAACAGCAAGCATGGAACACGTTTCTAACAATAGTGGACAAATCCATTTGCAGATGATGGAGGATGGACTGGAGCTGGAGCTTCAGAGGCAGGAGGCACACGATAAGCCCCCCGAACTTGTGGTGGTAGAACCCCACAGAGCACCCTGCATCTCCTACATTTGGCGGGGGTTGGGGCAGTGATGGGGCAGGCCAGGGGGCTCCTGGAGGAGGCTGCTGCCTGGATGGAGTTTCTGCAGGTGGAGGAGCAGTTATGGTCTTGAGTGTGGCTCACATCCGGGAGCCCTGAGGGCTTGGCCCAAGGATTGACCATTTCTTTTATGTTTCTATGTGGCACCCTTCTCTGGTGGTTGTGACCTCCTGGGAGTTTTGTAGAACCAGGGAGGTTTATTGATCAGGTCTATTCGGTCCTCTGTTTGATTCCCTTTGGGGTTGGAAGTACAAGCTGGCTGCCTGTTCTGAGTGGATGTGCAAACCTTGTGACCCCCAGCCCCTTAGCGTCTCCCTGTGGCTGTGGTCCCAGGGCAGCCTGTGTCCTCTGCACTGTGGCTGCTCAATCATCAGTCGTTACGTTGGGATGGGGCGGGGGGCTCGGCATGTGCATGTGGAGAGGCCCCCACCTTGTCCACCTGGGTGTCCGTCTCACCGTTGGAGAGCTCGGACTTCCGGCCAGTTCCACCTGTTCACGTGTGTGATGCAGAGTTAATCCTCCAGCCTGTCTTCACTCAGCCGGCCTCCGTGTCTACTTGGCACAAGGATGAGCTCTTCATGCATAAGCGTTTTGTAGCAGGGCGTCTCTAGCCCTGTGCCCAGTGCTGGGACTCGTCCCCCAGCTGCTGGAACAGTTTTCTGTGTTTTAAAGGAGACAGCAGGCTTTGCTTCTTTTGAAAAGTTGCTGTTTGACCTTTGCCTTACCTATAGGCTTACTGGATTGGAGGGAATTAGCATTTCTTTCTAGAAAGGAGAAGCACTTTGTTTACTTTGAATGTGCTCCTGCCTCTGCCTAGGCCTGTGGTTCCTGAAACAGCTGCGGCCTTCTCATTGTCTGAGTACCTTCATGAAATGCATGGAGACCGACGATGTTTTCACGATGCCGCACACCATGCTCGTTCTTCCCGCTGCCTGTGAAGCGGGACGCTCTCCTTCTAATTCAGTAGAAAATGAAACGGGCATTGGCCGTGGCTCACCGAGGCAGCTTCAGTTATGAGAATGCGCCCCCGGCCGTCTCCCCTGACAGCTCGGGCAGACAGAGCGTTTTCTTGTTAGTTTTCGCCTTTCTGGACGAGGAGCTGTGGGACTTTAGGATCTTGCCCTGTGTTTTGCATTCCACCCAAACAAAAACTAAAACGAAAGCAACCCCTAAACTCTGTGACGGATGGATGATGAGTTTGTGAGGAGTCAGTGGCATGGGGCTGGTGTGAGGGTGGCACAGGAGAGGGACACGCACACGTTGGATCTTGCCTGGACTCAGCCATGGAGCTAGATGTGCACTGTTGGGAACAGTGGGTCCTGACACTGACCCTCTGGTTGGTTGGCAGGGCCAGCTGCAGGTGGTGTCAGGACACAGGGTGTGGGTGTGGCTGCCCCGGATGAGCCTTGGCCCTCTGCTGCTGTGCTGTGACTTGTGCGGTCCCGGGTTTGAGGGGCCTGCTGGGAGTCGGGCCGCCTCCCTGCTGCCACGCTGGAGACAGACAGACCCCAGGAGGGAAAGGCCCATTTCCTGGTCCCTTGTGCTGATGGCCCCTCTGTCCCCTCCTCTGTCCTTCGGCTTGGTTCTGGTGCCCGGGATTGCCGTGGACCTCTGATGCACTCTGATTTTGCTTGGTCAGAGCCGGCCAAGCCCAGTCGCACCTCCCGGCTTTCTGGGCAGCCTCGCACCTGTCAGTTCACTCTTGTCGGAAGGTTTTCCTGTGGCTTATTGTCAGTCTGGACGTGGCTTTTCCAGACTCCCTGTTTTGTAATGACCTGCCATCGGCATTTGCTTTTTTGACATTTACTTGGCTTCTTGGCCCTTGGAACTGACTGGTTTTACTTAGCCTTTTTAGCCCTGCCTTCAGACACCTCTGAAAGCCTCCTTTGGTTTTGTCCACAGCCTCCTTTTGAATTCTTCTGGCCCCAACCCGCATCAGCTGAGAGCCCTGGTTCCTTGTAGTCGACGATGATGTCAGAGACTAACATCTCATTAGTCAGCAGGGGACTCACACAGTGGGACTGACCGCTAGTGATGCAGCAGGAAAAAGGGCCTGAGTCTTTTCTATTACCTCCAATTTAACTAAGTGCTTTTTATCTGCCTCCAACAGGAATCT